TGTTGTTGTTGTTGTTGTTGTTGTTGTTGTTGTTGTTGTTGGTTGTTGTTGGTGGTTGTTGGTGGTTGTTGGTGGTTGTTGGTGGTTGTTGGTTGTTGTTGGTTGTTGTTGGTTGTTGTTGGTTGTTGTTGGTTGTTGTTGGTTGTTGTTGGTTGTTGTTGGTTGTTGTTGTTGTTGTTGTTGATGTTGTTGTTGTTGTTGTTGTTGTGGGTTGTTGGTTGTTGGTTGTTGGTTGTCGGTTGTTGGTTGTGGTGGTGGTGGTGGCGGTGGCGGTGGTGGTGGTGTTGTTGTTGTGGTTGTCCTTGTCCTTGTCCTTGACCTTGTCCTTGTGCTTGTGTTTGTCCTTGTCCTTGTGCTTGTCCTTGTCCTCGTCCTCGTCCTTGTCCTTGTCCTTTTAGTCCTCGTCCTTTTCTCGTCCTCGTCCTTGTCGCTGGCGTTGTCGTTGTTGTTGCTGTTGTTGTACAATGTTGTGTGTGAAAGAGAGGTGTGTGACAATGTTGTATGTGACAATGTTGTGTGTGAAAGAGTTGTGTGTGGGAAAGACTTGTGTGTGACAGTGTTGTATGTGAAAGAGTGGTGTGTGACAACAGAAAAACAAGAACCCCGCACACAAAGGTGTGAAGAAAAAACATACGGTTGTTTTGCAAAGGGTATATCGCGAATAGCTCTTGAGTTTTTGGGCAAAAAGTAATTCCCTGGGACTTGCACGGTCCCAACAACAAATGTACTCTTGTTGCGTCTCAAGTTGCGTTGCTCCGGCTGCCGAAAAATCGCCACAATTTTTCCCTTGTAGGTCTGATATTTTTCAAGCCCCAACAGCTCATGAGTGTCGGTCAGCGGCCCATCGCAATGGAGAAGTCTCTGATCACACCACTCAGGACACCTCAGATAACCAAAAAAAGGGCCATGAAAGTAGCAAAGCAGCCGGCCATCCATTAATTACATTTCAAAATACAGGTCTGTCACGGAATGGGGTATGCAGCATGCCCTAAAATAACATGCCATCAACGGAAAATGGAAATGATGATGAACTAATGACAATAATGATAAAACATTAGATTTTGGGCTGCCCTCTTTTTTCAAAGAGCACATATTGGTAAACATGGGTGCTCAGCCCAAAGTCTGGTGATACTCCGCTGAGAAAAAATACGGTCCTAGATTCTAGTTGGTGGATGACCAGAAAAAGGGCAACTTGGAAAGATGGCAGAAAATAAAAGTGATTGAAACCAACAATGGTGTGTCAAATATGTGGGCAACATGTGCAGTTCTTTTGGCTTGTAACACCTCCAAGTATTCATTCTGCTTTTTTCCCCCCAAGGATAAGCGTATTTGAATGCTTGCAAAAGCTCCATCAGAGCGGCCATTGAACCTTTCTTTCTACAACCATATCTAGGAATAAACTGTTGGCAGTACCTGAAGTGTGGAAATATGTGTCTGTATGTCTGCCTATCTGCCCTGTCCATCTCTCTGTCCATCTATCAATTTTCTATTTATTATCTGCTATTTTATTATCTAGCGATGCTATTGATCTATCTATATGTCCTTCTATGTCTATATGTATATACAGTTATATACAAGTAAAACCCGCACGAGGCGGGTGGCGGAAGTTTCCAGGACTGTTACACTATAGGATCCAAAGACGAGGCTTGCCTATAGGAGATGCAGCGAAACTTCACAGCTTCTCAACTCTTCTCAAGACTTCTCACTTCTTGGCACCTCTTCTCAGCGACCCTCATCTCTGTGCACCTCATCTTGAATCTCCTCAACTCTCTTTTCATCTCTCTTCCCTCTTTTCAGCTCGTCTTGACTCATCTCACCTCAGCTCCACTCGTTCAATTTTGTCTCAGCCCGGCTGAAGTGACACAAGTGCAAACTTGTTCAACTGCCTTTCTCTTCGCTCGATCCGTTTGGCTCGTTCAAGTTGCGTTCGTCTTATTACCAGGGAACTCCAACTTGGGTGCAACTATCCGTAACTCTCTCACATCTTCTTCGATCGTCTTACCATTCATTTCTACAGAATCATAGGTTGCAAAACAGATTCAGAATTATGCATAACAGCTACACAAATTGCAGCTCCAAAACCGGATCTCGCCGCCAAATGGGAAAAACGACGATTTTGAAGCACTTTTTCAAAGGAATGTTAAAGAGAAAATCAGCAGCGCCAAAATCGAGAAAAATCTTCTGCCAAAGCACCAGTCACAACCTTCATGCATCCACTACCTACGATTCACGAATCTCAGCTGCAAAAAGACAATAGTATTACGCACGCAGCTGCAGCAGCGAGGAACCTTGACGCAGCCATTCCACTGCGATCTGCACAGACTGAGTTGCAAAACACAATAGCACAGCGTCAACAAAGAAGAGGAAAAGTCACCTTGAACCCTCACAGTGACATTGAGCGTGCAAATCGAACAGGAATCGACGGCGAAGAGACGACGCCCGCATCCGTCGCGCACGCGAGCCAACTTTTCTCCGCAACGGAACCTCCATTTACCCAAAAAAAACACTGTCTCGTGCAAACCCTAGCATTCAAATCGCATCCATAATGTAGCAGTTCCAATGCGATCTGCCAACAGAGACTTGCAAACACAATCTGAATCCAAAGACAGTACTGAAGAACAAGTACCCTTAGAGAAGCCTAGGCGCAGCCATTCCACTGTGATCTGCACAGACTGAGTAGCACAGCGTCAACAAAGAAGAGACAAAGTCACCTTGAACCCTCAGCTACACTGAGCGCGCAAATCGAACAGGAATCGATCGGCGTGGTCGTGCTGACCTCGCCGAAGTCGACCGTCTGGAACTTCCTCTCATTGTTGGCACGTTTCTTACCATTGTGAAGTTGCTTGTAGATGTGCCACTGCTTGGTGCTACATATGACATAGTACCACCACCACCGCTCTCCGCGGAACCTGGCGTATCATTGATTGCCGCCGACGCCGCAAAAGACATGTGAGTCTCGTTGCTGCTTGATTGTGGTTGTTGAGACATTGTTCCAGTTTCTTTGCAATGAACACTTCCCTTTACCACGGTCCAACGAATCGTAGTAGGTCAAGTAGAGCAGGATGCCTTAGTCAATGTCCAAGTCAATGATCGTTCCGCCCACCGGAGTGGGGAGTCGACCAACCAGGTAGGCGCGCTCGTTCGACACCTTGCCGTCGGACTTTTCCGCGTTGTAGGACCACCGTACGATGTCAATGGTGACCGTGTACTGGTCAAAGTCCTCAACCAGGCAGCGTCGACCGCAGCAGCTCCTTTTCCATCCGCGGGCTAACGGTGTGAGTCTTGAGCCATCAGCGGCGAGACACGTTCATAGTGAGACCGCTCATGCAATTGCTTGTGCTGGTGACCTGTCGCCTGGGTACTATTCACATGTATTGTTACGTGATGTATTGTTACGTGATGTATTGTTATGTGATGTATTGTTATGTGATGTATTGTTATGTGATTTGTGGTTATGTGATGTATTGTTATGTGGTGTGTTGTGATGTGATGTATTGTTTTGTGATGTATTGTGATGTATTGTTATGTGATGTATTGTTATGTGATGTATTGTTATGTGATTTGTGGTTGTGTGATGTTATGTGGTGTGTTGTGATGTGATGTATTGTTTTGTGATGTATTGTGATGTATTGTGATGTGATGTATTGATATGCGATGTATTGTTATGTGATGTATTGTTACTGCACTACACTTCATCCGTAACTCGGAAGATTGCTTCCCAACTTCCTTTGAAAATTTGTACATGATATTATATATATATTATATATATATGTATATATATATCACAGTGATGCTTTTCAAAAGAATATCGAACCAAAAAAAGGCGTCACCTCACCTGGCCATGGTTGAAGGCACCGGCAAGCATTAAGTTTGTCAACAAGCAAATGCCACCCCTTTAAAACTCTACAATAAACCTATATCTAGACCCTCCAAGAAATAGAAACACATGCTGATATACTATGATATACCCATTCCTGAGAGAGACTTTACCAATTTTCATCGGAATTTGGAGGGTCCAAGTAATTGCTCGTCAAGCACTACGTCACTACGCGATTTCGATCCATCAAAAATGTGCGATTTCGTTCATGTCAACCCAAGAATCCCAAGATTAACTAACCTCAGCGTTCGTTCAATACGGGTACTTTAGTTGCAAGATCCAACTGTATTCAGCGAACCCTGCAGTTAATTAATTTTTATCAATCTGGGGTTCACATTCTAAAATTTGAATTTGATTCATTTACTTTGCATTAAAGACCCACTCAACGGTGTCCAGTCATGTCCATCAGCGTGCGGCCGGTCAGCTTTCTTCGAGCTTCTACTTCAAAGCATTTTGGATCGTTTTTTCTGAAAAATTCATCGCCCACACCTCGGATATGCTGTGCAACATCAGCAAATTGTGTTTGGTCAAGACTCTGTTGATTCCACGCGGAACTCGAAGGTACATATGGGGATCATATGATGGCATCAGACAAAAACAGGGTTAAATGTGTATATAAGGCACGTGAATATGTCTGCCTCGTATAGAGGTCACATATCATCTTGCATTCTCATACGATCCTTCCACATGCATCCCCCAACGAGCCACCAGCCAAAAATGGCTACTTGGCCAGTGCTGGTTCCTCAGAAACACCACCAAAAATTGGTTCTTGAACAAGCATTCTATTCCTCATTGATGGGGACCACCCCGTTGGTTGACCCATTTTGATCACCATTTTGATCCTATGGGCTCCAAGTCAGCCTGCCACTCGCTTTTTTGAACACCCGGGAGCTATGGCAGCTATGGATATTCATCCCCGTATCGACCATTCAGCGTCCCAATTCTTGAGGTGAAACCCCCAGGCGTCTAGGACTGCAGTGGGTGAATTCTCAATTGAACGCTGCAGAAAACCGGCAATGCTGGAGCCTGGTTAATGTATTGCAAAGAGGTAATTGGGTGAAAAAAATGTTGAAAAACGAACACAATATCAATTTGCCCCCCCCTGGCCCTACAGTTTGAACAAAAACTGAAGCCAACACCAAACATCTTTTTCAACGAGTGCATGTGTTGGGATGGTACTGAATAATGTCAAAGACCTTTCCAAGGTGGCAGCCCCCGAGCCACCCGGTTTCTGAATACTGTTGATGTAAATGCTATATTCATGACCTTCCACAGGCATATTATAGATGATTATAGTATATTTATTTGCAATCCCAACTACACCATTCCCCTATTATAGCTTGAAAGGAAGGAGGAAGGGAGGAAAGGAAGGACTAAAGGCACGAACACATAAACACAAAAAAAAAGAAAGGTAGAACAAAGGCATGAAAGAAAGGAACTGAATAAAGAAAGGTCAAAAGCAAAGGCTGAAGGGACAGAACACAGAAAAGAAGAAGAAGAAGAAGAAGGAACGAAAGGGGAAAAATAAGGAACTAAGAGAGGAATAAAGGCAGAAAGAAAGAGAGAAAGTAAAGAAAGAAAGTAAAGAAAGAAAGCGGGAAACAAGAAGAACAAGTGAAGAAAGGAAGGAACAACAAAGGATAACAAACTAAAAGAGCGAAGGGAAGGAGAAATGTGACCTAATGCTAAACAAAGTCTATTCTAATGCTCGAAGATCCCCTCCCTTGGCCCCCGAGAGCTCAACACGAGAAAATTTATCTGATGACACTTACAATAGATTCCGATCCGTCGCGAACAAGTTGTCCATGTTACTCAAGTTCACAGGCCATCCAGGGCAATTTCCGGGCAGATGCACCAGGGTGTTGTAGAAACTGGTGCCGCACTTGGGGATGTGCAGCCAAAACATGGGCGAAGCCTTCCTTGGTCTGAGTTTTGAACAGCTGGGTTTGATACCCTCTGGCAATGACTAACATAGCTATGGAAAATGGCCATTTGTAGTTGGTTTACATAGTAAAAATGGTGATTTTCCATAGCTATGTTAGTTTACCAGAGGGTAACCCATTAGAAACCACTCCTTCGCTCTGATATTTCTTCCGATTGGTAGTATGATGTAGTATCTACAGTTCACAGAGATATGCGTCGTGGGGAATATCATCCACAAGTTTTTATACAGATGAATATGTCAGCGACATCTTTGAAGCCACCAGTCAGTATCATTATTATCATTGGATATATATGGATATATATATATATATACAGCCAGCCATGTTCAATTGGCTATATCATTGGATATGTGTATTAACCCAGCTTTGCAACCCAACAGCATACCTGAATCTTCCACCTACGTCTTTTTTCAGACCCTGTGCCAAAGTCCTGTTTTTTCAGTACCCAGAAAACTTTTCAGAACCTACTCTCAAATTCAGGACCTGGCCATTTTGGGGTATCAATGGTAATGGCAATCATTGGGTGCAAACATGTGAAACCAACATTTGGTGGATATTCAAGCCATTGGCATTGATCCACGCAAATAAA